GGGGCAGAACTCATACCAAAGCCACCGCAGCAACAGATGTTATTTCCCTGAAAAACTACAAAGGAGACAATAAAAATACAACAACACAAAGTGCCGCTTAGCAGGAGCAACTGCTCCTGTGAAGAACCTTCTAATTCCCCATGGGAACCTCCACGTGCGAAGCATTATGTACCCCTCTATAAGGTACTGCGCAATGCATCATGTACACGCTTGTGTTAAATCGGAGGTCTATTTATATGTAAAATACATACTCTTTATTGTTACCTTCTCTTATTTACTTATCTTTCCTCACTGCAAATCGCCAAGGATCTGAGAGGTATTGACTGCAGCTAGTGCCGAGGGAGTGAGCGAGGACGTGCCTGTCATCGTTGTGAATTGGCCCGTCCTTTTCCTTTATTGCTTTGTTTTGCAAGACAATCCTTAATAAACAATGTTTTTAAAAAAAAGCGTGCGAGCAGACGGGATCTGTAGAGGACAAGCAGGATGTCTCAAGAGTCGGCAGTGTCTTGGCAGTGCTGACGGAGCTGCCTGTCCGGCACGATGTCCCCACAGTGGGGTGAGGCGGTCCAGGGGCGACCGAGACTCTCCGCCTTTATTACCTTGCTGCTCCCATCAGTGTGCTGATCTGTCTCCCGTTTCAGAAGTAAGCCAGTTAGCCCGAGATTAAATGCGGAGAAAATGGTATCTTAGGAAGACCGCAATTTGTCTTCCCCCCAACAGGAACGAAAAATAAAAACAAATTGTCCTGTAGTTATTGATAATTAATCATTTTAATGGAACATCAGCAACAGACCTCTCTGCTTGCTCTTAAATGGCTGGATAGGGGCTGTAGATGAGTGTAACTAATGCAGTTAGCAGAGAGGAAAGTAATGAACTGACACATCACCTATTAATTCACTTAGATAAAAAAGCCCTTTAGGTTTAAAATAAACAGGTAAATGAATAATTGTAATCGCCACAGAATGCCTTTTGCATATCAACCTGCGCCATGTCAGCTGTGATACGGGAGTCAATTTATTTCTAAACGTAAGTAATGGATTGCTACCTTCGAATAAGAACAAACAACACAGTAAACAAAATTAAAAGTTATGTCCAACGTTTTACAATGAATTGCCCCTCGTAAAGTGCAATTTCCAAGACTAGGATATTTTCTTATTTTGAATCCAGGTACTGGAACCCTGGAAAAGGAAACAAGGGAGGAAAACGAAAAAATAAAATCTCCATTCTCCAATCTTTAAAAATACAAAAAAGATTATCAATTAATTATCATTTCCAAGAAGCGTTTCGCAATGAAAGATGTTGGGTTCTAATTTGTCTTCTCTTTTTCTCCCCGTCTGCTGCTTCCCCACCTTACAGATCATTAGCTTCACTTTTCATTAGGGGAGATCAATAACGCAGCACAGCCCCTTGACGCAGCAATGCCACGCTCCAGCTCGCTCACACTCGCCCCCACTCACGTCACCCCCCGCCTTCCCGCCACAGCTGGAGAGGAGCGAGGAGAGAGGGGAGAGGGGAGAGGGGAGAGGAGTGAGGGGAGAGGAGTGAGGGGAGAGAGGAGAGAGAGGAGAGAGGAGGGAAGAGAGGATAGAGGAGAGAGGAGAGAGGGGAGAGGGGTGAAGGGAGAGAAGTGAAGGCAGAGGGGAGGAGAGGGGAGCAAGGAGAAGGGCCAAAACACAGAAAAGTGGAAGCAAGATGTGGAAACGGGGAAGAATGATACCAACTGCGTCTTCCCTTTTTATTACCCCACTCCCCCGGATGTTTCAGGGGAATAATCAGCTGTCTTCAGCAAAACCAATAAACAGTCATGTTTGATTAAGAAAAATACACAAGAAACAACTTTATCAGAGCTTTATTATAAAGGCAGATTTCGGATGAACATCTCATGTGACAGAAGTTGCTAACAAGCACTCGAGGGGGTATTGAAAGGCTAAGAATGACCTGCGGTTATAACATCTGATTGACAGACAACAATGAGGAAATCGTTATAATGCAGTGGGTCGCCACAAAAACAATTCACAGACGTCGCAATGCAGCTTCATTTATTGTTAAAAGGCTGTAAATGGGTTTTGATTGGAAAAGGGTTTTGTGAGTTGGAGCACCATTCCACCCTGTAAAGCTGGTTTTACCCTTTCTTGTTACCCTAGGCATGGAAACAAGGCTTGGAGACCTTAGAGTCTTCGTCCATGCAGTACCAGCGCTGCTGGGGAGGGTTTTGTGCGACTGTTAAGACATGCAAGTTGTTTTAAAGGACCACAAACGCACGCCAGCTGTTAAAAGTCACACTTCCTTGCGGAATTTATCATGACGTTTCCATTTTTCAGAAAATCAGCGTTCGCGACCGACAGGGTCCTGGCACCGGCGCGGTGCGGCCGTTCAACGCGGACGGACGCGCACCGCAAGATCAACGAGGACGGCCAGGTCGGGCGGCCCTACGGCGGGAGACTTACCCAGCACCGTCAGCCTGGCGGGGCGCGACCTCATGGCTGCCTGGATGGCCTGGCACTCGAACACGGCGTCGTCCATCAGCTCCGCCCTCTGGATGCGCAGGTGGTGCTCCCCGGCGCTGTGGTCGCCCACGACGGAGTACCGCGGATACCCTAGGACAGGTGGGAGAGGAGTCGCCATCAGCCCTCCGGTTCCGCCGGCACCCACACTGGAAAATTCGCGCGCGCCTAGAGCCTCTCTGCAGCCACTCAGGAGACCCGAGTCTCCTCAATGGTCCCCTGCGCTGGAGGAAGGCACTGCCGAGCAGGACTGGTATCAGCATGCAGCCCTGTGTCTTCCACAGATGTTAGAGGAAGGGAAGGGCAGGAACTAAAAACCGCAAAACTCCCCTGGACTATTGTGCCACTGACACGCCTGTTGCAGGATTTTATATTTAAATTAGCAGCGAACGATAAATTACACTCCGGGGGTATAAACAACAAAAACTGGCTAAATAAATAATGTAGACAGAATGACGTTAAAGAGGGTGAGAAAGAAGCTATAAACAATATTAGCTTGGTAACAAACCTTTACTTGTAGCCACAAAAAAAGGCAGTAATTTCATTACTGCTACAACCGAATGAGACAGGAATGCTTCAAATGGGTGTTGGTAATACAATAGCACATGATTTACAGTTTAATAACACAGAGTGGTGCTTTCAGAAGGGCTGTCTGCTTTACTGCTTGACTAAAACACCCAGGCTCTGAAGCCTGGCCAATTCCGGTTAGCAGAAGTTGTGCGTCGCTGGCGTGAGCAGGCGGGACATTTCCTTTCCTGCCGACGTTCCAAGCTCTCCAGCTCCACGTCGGAGAATTTTCATACTTTCCAAGGTGATGTGATTTTGACTTCAGCAGTGCTTTCCAGGCTAAGTGACTTCTTTAACATGATGTTTTACAATAGAAACATGTACATGTTCAGGACATTCAATGCATCCCATCAACTTTCAACTCACAGCAAGTCCATCAACTCTCTGAACCAATACTGTTTCTTTCTAAGACTTTGCACAGTAGGATACAGATGACTTAAGATAAAGTATAGTATTTACAAGTAATTTTAAATAATATAATAAAAATATTCAGTATATAATAAATTATATTAAATATATTACATTGTTATTCTAAAATATAAAAATAGCACTTAATAAACTCCTACCTGTGCCCACTATGTCCAGTATTCATGACCATTCAGAAAGAGTTGTTTTAGATCCGAATACTCTCTGCTCTCCTCTTGTATGGGTATACTGTTCCACTCGGCCAAACGTACTTACCAAACAAGTCAATATACCCTCAAGAGATGTTTTTTTTTTCCCACTGTGATCAAAAAGCCTTAAAGACTGATGTCTACCTGAATTATCTTTATAGATTCAGCCTGTGTTCAATTGCTTTTATGTTCTCTAGTCCACCCATTAGGCCAGAGCGTTCCAGAACTTCAATTAGCGTCCATGGCATCATTGAATCCTATTCACTTTTAATAGGCCATGAAGTACCACTCATCTGCCCATTGAGGGAAGGATTACTGCCCATAACAGCACTCAATATTTCATTTCTCTACAAAGTGCTTTTAATTTTGTTTTAAGGTAACGTGGAAAAAATGAATAGCAAAATGGAAAAAAAAAACTGGGAAAATCTGTAAACATGTCCCCTGAGGCTCCTCGTTTATCTCATTAAATGCTCTGGGGAAAACAGATGGAGAAACGAGGAGATCTCTTCTTCAGTATCTTATTCAGATTAAATTTCCAATATATAGAGTATTGGGAGGAGGTGGAGTAAGTCATTAAAAATGCTTTTGCTTGATTGAATTGCACACAGGTTCTGAAAGGTCAGACTTTGGTTAAAGAAAGGAAAGATCAAACATAACTGCACGCAGTAAATAACATTAATGAACATTGATTTTGTATAAAATGCCATGGTTTATTTTGCCACTGAGAGATCAATTCTCTCTCTGCACCATCTATAACCATTGATACCCAGCTGGGGCCCAGTTCGTTTTACATTAGAGGGGAGCCTATTAACACTAAGAATCCACTCTGTGCAGCTAAACCTAACAGAAAACAAGCACACCATTGGTCATTCAACCATTAGCATTCAGAATGCCCTCAAAGCCCAGACACATGTATTGTAATAGTACTCTCAGCATATCAATTCAAGCCATTCTGTAGAGTTTTATACAGAAAGTCTCTAGTAAATCATTGCAATTTCCAATTCAGTAAACGATCAATATGTCAAAGCATGAGGTTGAAATGCAGGGCCTTTAAAATAAATAAGCACAGAAGTGTGATTAACTTCAAAAACAGAAACATCTTTGTTCCCTTATATACAACATAATTCTCACATTCTTATTCTCAACCCATGTAGTATTCGAAACGAATGGACAAATAAAAAAATACATGCTGACATCACACTATTTCTAAGACGGACTCCAAGACCTGGAGAGTAATTTTGCAACTATATACAGTATGTCAATTAAGCCAGTTTCTCTAACTATTAACATGTTTAATTTGCAAGTCGCCCAGTGGAACGCTGAGCTCTTTGCTGGAAGAATAATGAACAGAAACCAATACTTCAACACGACACAAGAGGCGGGGGATTGAGTCTCGGAGAAATAGTCAACACAAATGCAAGCTTTGCGCGGGAGAGCTGGAGCTCCAGGAGGTATTAAATAAAACCCCTTTGGACCTTAATGAATTCCTAAAGACACCGTATGTCACTGGGAGCAAATGATGTAAAATGGTCCCATTAAAGGTAATGAATCCATCAAAGGATGAATGGATTAGTCGTTATGGTGGATCAATAGCATGGAAATGGTATTGAATAGTATCACGGACAGTGATTTATTCCACCGTAGAAAAGTGCAGGCATCCTACTGACACGTCAGTGGAGAGAAATGGGAAGAAAGGCTGTCAGGAGTGGTACTTAACTCTAGGATGCTAAAGTGGGTGGAAGACCAGTGTCAGGGAATGGAACTGAATGTCAATTATCAGTGCGCTGTTTTATACAGGGGTGCTGTGAAAGTGGCATTTTCTCTGCCACTCATTAGCGTCTTCACCAGGGCCAAGCAAACCTGCCGGCCACTCGTACAGAAACAGAGACTTAGGACTCAGGCTGCAGACTCGCGTGAAAACGCACAACCGGGATTTCAGAGCGTGCAATGGAACGGGTACTTGCATCAGCTTGCCACTAAGGGAACATGACATAAAATGGGCTGTGTTATTTAGTTTATGGTATTCCGATGGGCTAAAAGTTAAAATCTACATTTTACATTTTGTTTCTGGAAACGGCCCATACCCCAACCTCACCAGTATTTAACTTCCGACATCCCCTGCAGCTGCAGTGACTTTTAATTTTCTTACACAGATTTGTTCCCTCCATATACAGTAATATCAGAAAGGCGTTTATTCGCCATTTGTGCAATTCGTTCATAAAACATGGTATATTAAAAGTACTAAAGCAAGAAACCAGGAAATACAGCACTAACTGTAAAGATTATTCTTACAACAATTCTAACTTTGACTCTTTGTATCACACTGCTGTGACAGCGCCAGAAGCCGTACATACAGATACGGCAGGTGACGAATGAAAGCCTGCAAAAGCTCGCCTCATGCCCGATGTTTCATTCGGAGAAGCAGAAGCACCATGTGAGCACCAACAAACACACACACACACAAACACACACACACCGCCCTTACACACGCCACTCGCTTTACCACCGAGGAGTGTGTTTAAACGTCACGCGGGCCAGACATTCAGGAGTGTTTACTGCTATTAGCGGGCCGCGGTTCAGCGTCTCGCTTGGCCTGATGGATGCTGGCAGGGTGATCGAACGGCTTTAATGGGACGCCAGCGCCCTCAGAGGCCTAATTAGAGTGCAGCTATCCAAGAGGACGTGTTGCGCAGGAGAAGCAGAGCGTGGCACCGTGGGCTCGGGGGAGCAGCGCCGCCCTCTCCCCCAGCTCTCCAGGATGGATTTTTAAGGACACCGATGCAAAAGGGGGAAAACGGTTCAGACCGGGGGCCACACTCCCTGCTCCCCAGAGATCCCACCCCCGGCACGCGCTCATTCTACTCCCCCTGTCACGACGACATTGCAATGGTTAACTCTCACACCGGGGGAGGGGGGGGGTTAATGGATTTTGTAATGACTAATTCACCAACTCCCACACCCCCCTGCCCTCCCCCCAAGATGGAAACCTCTTGTTTCTGCCACTGTAATGCTCACATAGGGGGGAAAAACAAAGACATTCAAAATGCACTTTTACCGTCAGTTCAGGGCAACAGATGTTCAAATTAAATCACGTCAGCTTTCAAATCTGTGTTTATTTTTTGCACAGCTACTAGTTTAAAACGCAGTAAATATTTATGTGCTTGGGTGATAAAAGACAGAGATGCTTTATACAGATATTTATCATGCTCTATGAATATGGATTAGATGCCACTATCTGGGGGAATCTGTGGGCTACAGCACTGACAGCACAGCAGCAAGTGCTAGTCCAAATTAAACAATCAAGGTAATTATATGAGCAGCATAGTTTGAAGCTTTCATTTCAAATCTATTTACTCTCTAAAAGCCCCTTAAAACTTGAAAATGTGTTGTGTCGATGCATCCCTTTGCAACAGAGGTGGCACATGTCCTGCTTGATGTTTGCTGCAATGAGTAAGAACCTGGTTTTCAGCTTAGATGCTTTATAACCCCTTCAAGCAAACGCTTTTGAAAACCCTCTCATCCCGACTGGACTCTGCAAGTCAATCAAACTGCATTAGTGGTGCCAATTGTGATTTGATCACCCTGGCAATATAAATGTCACGGGCTCTTGCTGCTTTATGACTGTTTGCTGCTTTTTTTTCTTCTTTACATGGATTCTAAAAGTCAAGGAGAAGAGGGCAAGGCTTTGCAGACCCCCTTTGTCTAAGGCGAGGACAGGCGGAAGGGAGAGGAAGCAGCTCACCTGACAGGTCCCTGCCCACCCCCAGCGCGAGGCCGTCCTTGATCCAGAGCACGATGCCATGGTAACCGGGGATGGCGCAGTGCAGGGTCACCGGCTGCCCGGCGACGACCACCAGGTCCTGCGGCTGCTGGGCAAACATGGCGAGCACTCCTGAAAGAGAGGGAGGAGAGCAGAGGGGCCTGTCAGGGACACAGGCGTGGGCCATGCGCACCTTGCAGGACCTCTGAGCAGAGGGGCAGATCTCGTCGACACCTCCTAAAACCACGGCTGACAGATGGAGACCACCCCCCACCCCCACCCCCGCCAAGTAACTCTTGAGCTTAGCTACGCGTTGTGCGGTTTCTTTGTCACAACTAGAAGCCTGCAAATTCTTTGCTCAACCGCTCAAAATCATGAAATGTCATGATCGGGCCATTTTCCCACTGCTGCTTCCAATCCAAGGTCACAGGGCTGCCGGAGCCCAAACTGGCAGGCAACGGGCACAAGGCAGGGTACACCCTGCTTGGAGTGCCAGTCCATGAAGATGGCATACACTCACACCAGGGACAGTTTTCCAAGAAGCCTATTAACCTACCAGCAAGTCTCCAGAGCAATCAGAGGAAACCCATGCAAACACAGGACAATGAGCAAACTCCACAAAGACAGCATCCCAGAGTAGGAGTTGAACTCGGAGTCCCAGTACTGTGAGGCAGCAATGCTAGCCGCTGACATACAGGTTAATTGCATCTACATACAAGATCACACACGCACACATTTCATCGGGCTGAGGTTGCCATACAAACAGTATACTTCCAATACAGCTCCCATGCTGAAGATCACAATCCTTTCTTTCAGATCAACACTAAAAGCATGGAACCTTTAACAATTCCGTGATGGGAAGCTAAAGGAATAGCACTTTCCATCTCCATCTCAACAGCAGACAGGACACATAAAGGACTGGAAACAGACAGACATTTCTGTCAAACTATGGTTTTGCTTCTGAAAAGGTGCGTTTCTCTTTACTTCTCAGGTCTGAGGCACACTGCGGCTTGAGACTAGAGCTGCTGACCTGAGTGTGAGGCTAATCCGTCTGTCTCCTCACACCCCCCAGCGCATACACATCAATAGATCCCCCCCCCCC